CGCCCGGGGCCGGGGCCCCCAGCCACTCCGCGGCATGTGGGATCTTCCCGGACTGGGGCACGAACCCGCCTCCCTGGCATCGGCAGGCGGACTCTCAACCACTGCGCCACCAGGGAAGCCCAAGGCTGTGCATTTTTTTCAGTCAACAGCAACAACAAAAACTAACAGAACTGAAAGGAGAATTAGACCAAATCAAAATTATATTTGGAGATTTCAACATTCTTCTCTTAGTAATGATAGAACAATTAAACAGAAAATCAGTAAGAATTTAGAAGACCTCAAAAACACTATTAACAAACTTGACCTAAGGAAGCAATACCAGTCCTACACATATGTTTGGAAATAGAGAAGGATATACCACTCAACTCGTTTCATGAGGCCAGCATTTACTGACACTAAAACCAGACAAACACATTATAGGAAAAGAAAATGATGGAGCCATATACCTTCTTAATAAAATTTTAGCATCAAACCCAGCAATAGATAGAAAATAATATATTATGACAAAGTGGTGTTAATTCTAGGAATGTAAGATTGATTTAATATTAAAAAAACTAAGCAATGTAATTTACCACGTTAAACAAATAAAGGAGAAAAACCATATGATCATCTTAATAGATGCACAAAAGCATATGACAAACTTCAATACCCATTCATCATGAAGCCTGTCAGGAAACTATCAAGAGAAAGACACTTTTCAACCCGATAAAGGGCATCTCTGAGAAATCTACAGCTAATATTGTATTTAATAGTGAAAGACTAAACACATCCCCCCTAAGGCAAGACTGTCAGGTCTCAACACCTTTATCCATGATTGTACTGAAAGCCCTAGACAGTGCAATAAAGCAAGAAAAAGAAATAAAAAAGTATACAGATTGGGAAGAAGTAAGAACACTATTCTCAGGTGATGGGATTGCCTATGAAGAAAATCCTAAGGAATATACAGAAAAAGGTTGTTAGAACTAACAATAAATTTAGCAAAGTGAAATTTGTATTTTTACATATTAGCAAGAAACACTTGGAAATGAAAGTAATAAAATAATGCCATTTATAACAGAACAAATTGAACGCGGATGTTCTAGACTGTACACTGAAAATCATAAAACCTTGCTGAGAGAAACTAAAGGAAACCTGAATAAATGGATGAATATACCATATTTCAAGATCAATATCATTAAGATGTTCATTTGTAGATCTAATGCAATCCTAAGGAAAATCAGAGCAAACTTTTTTTTGGTAGAAATGTATAAGCTGATTCTGAATTTTATATGGCAGTGCAAAGGACCCAGAAGAGTAAAAATAATTTTGAAAAAAAAAAAAAGAAATGATTGTAGCAGTTACACTGCTTATTTCAAGACTTACTATAAAGATACAACAATAAAATAAGCATGGTATTGGCCAAAGAAAGACATATAGATCAACAAAACGGAATCGAAAACCCAGAAAAAAAGACATACACATATGCAGCCAATTGATTTTTGACAAAAATGCCATGGAAATTAAATTGGAAAAAAATAGAGACTTTTTAAGAAGTGATCTTGGAATAACTAGATATTCATTTGGCAAACAATAACTTTGACTTTCATCTCATACTATATATAGGTGTGAACTCAAAGTGATTATAGACTGAAAAATAAAAATGAAAACTAAAAAACTTCTAGGAGAAAACATAGGAGAAGATCTTTACAACCTTGGGGTAGGCAGATTTTTTAGAAAGAATTAAAAAAATCACAAACTATAAAAAGGTTAGAAAAATTGGACTTTATCAAAATTAAAATCTCCTGCTTTTCAAAAAATACCACTAAGAAAATGAAAAGGCAAGTCACAGACTAGGAGAAAATATTCACCATACATATGTCTGAGAAAGGAACTGTATCCAGAATGTAAGAACTCTTACAACTCAATAGCAAGAAGTCAAAAAAGTCTAATTAAAAGATGGGATAAAAAGAAACGAAATTGAGTTATTTGTGGTGAGGTGGATAGACCTAGAGTCTGTCATACAGAGTGAAGTAAGTCAGAAAGAGAAAGACAAATACCATATGGTAACACATATATACGGAATTTAAGAAAAAAAATGTCATGAAGAACCTAGGGATAAGACAGGAATAAAGACACAGACCTACTAGAGAATGGACTTGAGGATATGGGGAGGAGCTGGGACAAAGTGAGAGAGAGGCATGGACATATATACACTACCAAACGTAAAATAGATAGCTAGTGGGAAGCAGGCGCATAGCACAGGTATATCAGCTCGGTGCTTTGTGACCGCCTAGAGGGGTGGGATAGGGAGGGTGGGAGAGAGGGAGACGCAAGAGGGAAGAGATATGGGAACATATGTATATGTATAACTGATTCACTTTGTTATAAAGCAGAAACTAACACACCATTGTAAAGCAATTTTACTCCAATAAAGATGTAAAAAAAAAAAAAAGATGGTAAAGATTTAAACAGACACTTCACAAAAGATTTGCAAGTGGCCATAAGCACATGAAAAGATGCTTGACATTACTAGTCACCAGATAACTACACATTAAAACCACAATGAGTTACCACTACTCATCTACTAGATGGGTACAATGAAAAAGAATGACAATACCAAGTGTTGGTAAGATTGTGAAGCAACTTGATCTCTCAAATATTGTTTATGGGAGTGTAAAATGGTTCAACCATTTTGGAAAACTATATGGGAATTTCTTATAAAGTTAAATATCTTCTTTCTATAATCCAGCAACTGCACTCCTAGGGATTACCAAAGAGAAACAAAAACTTTTGTTCACACAAGACTTGGACAAGAATATTCATAGCAGCTTTATTCAAAATAGCCCAAATCTGGAAACAAACCAAACACCTGTCAACAGGTGAGTAGATAAAACAAATTATAATACCTTCATACAATGAAATACAACTTGGCAATAAAAATTAACAGACCACTGGTACATACAGCAATGTGGATAGATCTCAAAAACGTTGTGTCAGGACTTCCCTGGTGGTGCAGTGGTTAAGAATCCGCCTGCCAATGCAGGGGACATGGGTTTGAGCCCTGGTCTGGGAAGATCCCACATGCCGCGGAGCAACTAGCCCGTGCACCACAACTACTAAGCCTGCACTCTAGAGCCTGCAAGCCACAACTACTGAAGCCCGCGCGCCTAGAGCCCGAGCTCCTCAAGAGAAGCCACTGCAATGAGAAGCCCATGCACCGCAACGAAGAGTGGCCCCGGCTCGCCAGAGCTAGAGAAAGCCCACACGCAGCAATGAAGACCCAATGCAGCTAAAAATAAATAAATTAATTAAAAAAACAAAAACGTTATGTTGAGTGACAGAAGGCACAACAGATTACATACTATGTGATTCCATTCATATGAAACCCTAAAAGAGGCAAAAGTAATCTATGTGACAAAAGCAAGTGGGGAAGAGGGAAGGATGACTTACAAAGGGGGCACAAGAGAACTTTTAGTGGATGGAAATGTTCTGTGTCTTGACTGTAGCTGAGGTTATGGGCGTATGTGCCTGTCAAAAGTCACTGACCTGCTACACTTAAATAAGTGCACATTATACTTCAGTAAAGTTGGTCTTAAAAAAGCAAAAACAATGAGGATAAGGATTATACCAGAACTTTGAACAATGTGCTTTGAGCACCATTTTGAATGTATTCTAATTTCACAGTCACATATATATATATATATATATATATATATATATATATATATATATATATATATATGTGTTTACTTTCTTCCTGTGGAAAATAAACCTACTGAATAAGCTGAGTTGATTGGCTGAGTTTAAAACCCTTGATAAGCTTACAATATTAGCCATACTTAGAGAGGCAAGAAACATTTTTATGAAATAAGGCAGAAGAAGCAGGGAGAAAAGAAGGCAACAGGGTTATTGATATTGATCCAAACACGAGGAACTATACTAGGAGAGTCGAATTATTCTGCAGGTATTCTGGTGAGAAGAAAAGACTGGAATATTTTAGATACTCTGGCTTATTAATTTTCTTTTTAAAAAAATATTTGTTTATTTGTTTATTTATTTTGGCTACACCGGGTCTTAGGTGCAGCAATGTGGACTTCTTAGCTGCGGCATGCGGACTCTTAGTTGCGGCATGTGAACTCTTAGTTACAGCAAGCACGCGGGATCTAGTTCCCCAACCAGGGATCGAACCCCTGCCACCTGCATTGGGAGCACGGAGTCTTACCCACTGGACCACCAGGGAAGTCCCTGCTTATTAATTTTCTGATAATTTTTATTAAGATAACTGAAACCAGACTGGCATAGTCCTTCCTGATTTTGTAGTAAGCTATTATGGACCATTTGGGATGCAAGGGGATGAGAGTGGAAAAGACTGGAGGGCATAAAGAAATGTTCTGGCTGTTGCCATGACTGCCTGCTTGCATATTCTGATGCTGGCTAGCTCCCTACTACTGTTCTTTTTTTTTTTTTAATAAGTCAGCATAAAAAGTAGCCAGGTTACATTGACCACACTTTCTCCACAATGTGTACTTCTCAATCTTCAGTCATATTTAAACAGCGAAATGAATAAAGTACAAATCCAGATAACTCCTTTTCCCCTAGACTATGGTTTTATTGAAAATGACTACTCCCCACCGATGAGAAGTTACAGGAAAGCCTGCCCTGTAAGTCACCTACCTCCGATGATGGCTGAGTTTCTGTTGACTCCATTTCTTATAGCCTGGCCTTGTCCTGGGTTATACGGAAAATCAGCACTGGCTATAGAGGAAGAAATGAAAAGACATATATATCATCTATCCCAGATAATTTGACACCTAGTTTTTCATACAACCCTTCAACAGCCTGTTTTCCCAAGTGAGATCTCCATTTCATCTAAACCCATTTTGCTGTTGTTTCCCACAAGAATCACAGCCACTTCAGTGTCTGCTGTTTGCCTTTGTACAAGTCCCAGATGAACAGCGTTTACCTCTTTGGGAGGAGTATTAACAAATCTTAGGACTACATGAGCTGGCCTGTTTTGGTTCCCCTGGCAGACAAGTTTATGTATTAGAATACTTTTTCTTAAGTTTGGCTGAAATCTGCTTGCAACCCACTTTTATCCCTTTCATAACTGGTGGCACTGGAGATACTCGCCAATGAGCTTTTTACAGCTTACAGCATTAGTTTAAAAAGTAAAATCATTAAAAAATACTTTTTAAAATTGAAGTACAGCTAATGTACAATATTCTATAAGTTACAGGTGTACAACAGAGTGATTCACAATTCTTAAAGGTTATACTCCATTTATAGTTATTATGAAATATTGGCTCTATTCCCTGTGTTTATTTATTTTATACATAGTGGTTTTACCTCTTGGCCCCCTACCCCTATCTTGCCCCTCCCCCTCCCTCTCCCCACTCGTAACCACTAGTTTATTCTCTATATCTGTGAGTCTGCTTCTTTTTTGTTATAGTCATTAGTTTGTTGTATTTTTTAGATTCCACATGTAAGTGATATCATGCAGTATTTGTCTTTCTCTGACTTATTTCACTTAGCATAATGCCCTCCAAGTCCATCCACGTTGTTGTAAATGGCAAAATTTCATTCCTTTTGATGGCTGAGTAGTATTCCATTGTATATATAGGTACCACATCTTCTTAATCCATTCATCTGTTGATGGACAGTTAGGTTGCTTCCATATCTTGGCTATTGTAAATTATGCTTCCATAAATATTGAGATTGCTTCCATATCTTGGCAATTGTAAATAATGCTGCCATAAATATTGGGGTGCATGTATCTTTTCAAATTAGTGTTTTTGTTTTAAAAAGTAATCATTTCTTTAAATGAATATCTTACATGGCTCTATTAAAACACTGTACATTTCAGGAATTTGTAAGAGGATAATATCTTATAAGTGTTGAGAAGAATATTAACTGCCTAATAAATTTTCTATTTCTCTCCCTATTTCAACAGGCCTTTGCAGGATGCCTACCATATGTCAGGCGCTATTCTAAGTGCTGGGGATATACAGTAAACAAGAAAAAAGATGAAAATTGTTATTAATGAGAACTTTCCATGCCTCATTGGAGAGTTTGGTTTATATAGTCAAAATACTAGTCTGAAGCATGGATGTGGTTTTAGTTATGACCCTATTTATAGTGAACTGCCTGAAATTATGGGGCAGCTTCCACGTTGTAACGCACACACTCATAGGACACAGTAAGATTTGGTTATCAGTACACATAATTCCCTGACATCAACCGCCCTTCAAAGACTGAGAGCTGTTTTTCAAGGATAAAGGCCTGCACCTTCACTGCGCCTCTGGGGCACAGTTTCTAGGTCTTTCGACATTGTATTTACCTTTCTCTGGACTCTATTTGGTCTACATCCTTCTAAAAAGTCAAAAGCTTCGGAGCTTGTAAGTGGCCTAGTTGGGATTAACACCCAGGTAGGGTTAATTCCAAAGTCAATAATCTTCCCTGTCCTGCCTTTCAAGGGCTAGGAAAACACAGACAGGTAAGCTGGTGAGGAAATACCAGCTTTCAGACGGTTTAGCTTACGTAGGGCCTATGGGAGGAAGAGCCTTTTCTTTGGGGATTGGGGAGACAGACTTGTTTTGTTTGGACACATTGAATCTGAGGTGCCTAGGGGATGTATGGCGATAACTACTAGACATTTGGGTGAGTGGGTCATATCTCTCATCTCCTTTGGATAAACACAGAAATCTCCTGACCCTTAAACATCAATAATATAAATCTTCAAAATATATTTGGTAACAAAAAAATTACAATGGCAATTTTGTCACTATTCTGTTGTTTGGTATTCATGATACTACAAAACTGTTTGCTCTTCTGCTTCAGGTAACACGGATGGTGGGACACAGCATAGTTCCCGCTCCAAAGAGAGCTTTGCGCCCTTGGCCACAAAACTGCAGAGAAACACAGATGCCTAGAGACTGACATCCTCTCTCTGGTTCTCTTGAAGTTATTGATACAAACACTAGTGGAAGGTATGGATGTGACCTGAGATGACCCAAGCAGAATAATAAGAGCTAGAAAAGAACATTAAAAATACCCCAGGATCGCCTCTGTTATAAAATCTGAACTCCTTGACATGGGGAGGAAGGCTTCCCTTGAGACGAATTTCTCTCCTGCCTCTTTCCTCATGGAACCACTTTTCCAACTCAACATTCTAGGCACACGGATTCCTGAGGCTTGAGGGGGACGTGTCTTTGCTCATCCACATGACTCTCTGTCAGGACACCTGGTTCGCCCTTCTTTTTGTCCATTAAATCTTGCCTCTTTCCTGAAACCATCCTCAGCGACCGCAGATGAAGCGTCTGCCCTCCTTCCAATGGCTATCACCTTAACTCTCATCACTCCTTACATGGTATTCATCCTCTTAAAGGCAGGGGCCAATCTTAATTATATTTGCAGCCCCAACGACAAACAGCGCAGACAAGTAGCAGAACTAATTGGATGTTCGTTGACCCGTATGATTAAAATCAGTCCATTAAGATGTGCGTAAACATTTGTATAGCCTCTTCTGATAATAAAGTCCCCCACGCAGGTACAATTTTGAAAGTCAGCTGCCTAAACTCAACTCTACTCTTAAAGCAAGGCAGCATTCTTACTCTTCCCAACAAAGGAAAGGAATATATTGAATATAGAAAAGCTGCTAATGATTCCTGTGTCCACTAGTCTGGTTATTATCAGAAAACAATCAGTGGAAAACCCCCAGGCCCAGCAGAAGTCCTCATGAAATTCAAGGACAGGGTTCTGTGTTTGCATGAGCATCCTTATTTTCCTGGCTTTGTTTATACCTTGAGACTGGTTGTCCTAATGCATGTGAATGCTTACTCCCTGGAGGCAAATCCACTTTATCCTGGCATGCAGACTGATTTGCTACTTTGACAGATATATTTCAAATGATTTCATTGTAACTGTCCTTTCCCCTGGGTACCAACAGACTCTTGGAAATGCACATAAAGAAACATGGAAGCCAAGAGACACAGATGAGGCCAAACCACAAACCTCATCCATGACATGGGCTCCATTCTGCTGCTTACGTGATGCTCCCCCCACCTCACCTCCTCCAAGTTTGCTGGGAGAGCAGAGCCATTTTAGTGGTGCTGGAGTATCGGGGAACCTATATTTTGGGAAACGTCATGAGTAGGTCCAAAGTAGACTTTATTTTTTATGTATGTATGTATGTATGTATGTATGTATGTATGTATGGCTGTGTTGGGTCTCTGTTGCTGTGTGCAGGCTTTCTCTGGTTGTGGCGAGCGGGGGCTACTCTTCGTTGCGGTGCACAGGCTTCTCTCATTGTGGTGACTTCTCTTGTCACGGAGCACAGGCTCTAGGCGTGCGGGCTTCAGTAGTTGTGGCACACGAGCTCAGTAGTTGTGGCTCATGGGCTCTAGAGCGCAGGCTCAGTAGTGTGGCACATGGGCTTAGTTGCTCTGCGGCATGTGGGATCTTCCCGGACCAGGGCTCGAACCTGTGTCCCCTGCACTGGCAGGCGGATCTTAACCACTGCGGCACCAGGGGAGTTCCAAAATAGACTTTAGATATTAAGTCTCAGGACCAGATTTGTGTCGAATAGGCAAAGACTGTATTCAATACACTTTTCTTCTGGGTCCCAAATGACACTTGTGGACAAAGAATGTCACCCGTCAAAGGATGTTGCTGCCATCAAGCCATCAGCCACGCCCACCCCCACAGTGCACCCTGAGGAGATTCAGGATGGAGAAAACAGGATACTGGCCCTAGATAGTTAAGGTGCCTATCAAAGGAATGATCTCCGTGAGGCCAGACTCTGGAATTTTCCCACACATAAAAAATTGCTAACTTCATTAACTTGAGATGTCTGGTTTTTCTTTAATTAATAGTAATCTTTTGATGTACCAACTACTTGTTTGGTTGCAAAAACTCCCATATACCCGGGCCCCTCCTTAACCTCTTCGGAGCTGCCCCTCACAGTTATTTGAGAGTCTGTCTCCTGGGCTTAAGTCCTCAGTATGTCCACTGCATAAAACATAATTCTCAACTTTTTGGTTGTGCATGTTTTTTCTCAGTTGACACACTACATGATAATGCTAAAGTGTGCTGCTATTCCAGCACTGATTTAGTGTCTCCTGGAAGCGTGTTCCTGCTTATTTCCCCTGCACACATCCTGTTTGTCTGGTCCTCCCCTTTACCCTGACAGACCGTGTTTCCTTTGCCCCATCAGCCAGAGATCCGCTCTCCTTCCCGCCGCCCCCCAGCAGGGGCAGGCAGACATGTTGCTGCAGCAACCGATGGGGCGGGTCCTTCTCCCGTGGACATGCCTGCTAAACAGCTTGGCCGACGCTGCAGAGCCCACAGAGAAGGCACGTGCATCCCAGGCCCCCAGACACACCCGGACGGTTCCACACACAGACAGCCTCCCTTCCCATCATCTCTGTCTTCAACCTGGGAAGCAAGCTGAGAGCTCAGTGCTGGTGCACCTGCCCTTTCCCTTCCTCCAACTTCAGGTTGGGAAAAAAAAGGGAAGAACACACACACTCTGTAACAGCAGGCCCAGGGGGAGCTGTTCCTCCTAATCATACAGATATAGTAAGATGGTCAGAAATTAGGACAGGGTGAGTAAAAATACACCTTCTTACCCCCAAAGAATAGATACCATGACTGTTTTATTCCACTTCTAAAGGCCTCTGCCTGCCCTTTGCTACATTCTAGGAAGACTTCATCAGGAAAGCAAAAGACAGTCTAATCCTTGCCTCTTCTGTCCGTGT